CCATCATATCACTACCGCAGAATAGTCATTCATAAGCATCGCGGCAATTTGTGCCCAGCCTCAAGCCCTTAAAAGTACCGCTACTAGGCTGAAACAATAAAATATTCTTCCATAAGGCAATGACAACTGTCTGATCAGCCATACCGGTAGAAACATCCCGTATCACATCTGTAGTACCATTACGGTTCTTCAATTTCGATTTATGACAAGCGTTTCGCGTCGCATAAGATTAAGTAGGAAAGAAAACAAAGGCATAAGCCTCGCATGAAATCGAATCGCACGATAAGGAATAAAGAAGGGAGGTACTCCTAACAATCCTGCAGCCTCCCGAGGATAAGTACAGACGTCTCCGTACCGATCCACGAGACTCTACCAAACTTGCTCATGACTCGTGAGACCCTAGGAACCTAGTGCTCTGATACCATGTTGTCACGACCCAAAAAAAAATCCACTACGGGTCGTGATGGCGCCGGACACCGCTGTCAGACAAGCCAACAAAATTATCAATTGAATTCTCCTTTTAATTATATAGAAATCTAGGATTTTTCCTTCCAATTTTCATAAATAAAGAGGTCATTACTTCAATTCAAATAAATAAATAAAAGTGAACAGTTGATACAATTCTTTCGAAGAACCGACCCAGAACCCGGTGTCACAAGTGCATGAGCATCTATTGATAAGGAAAATAAAATACAACATCTGCCCGAAATGCAGTGGACAGGGAATAAATATAAAACGCTGAAAGGAACTACACTAGCTGCGGGTCGCCTCGAACAATGCAGCTCACCTAGTCCCAGAGTCATCCGCGCCGCTACGCCCAGTAAGCCACTAAAGTTACTTATACCTGTGCAACAAAAATGCACAGAAGTGTAGTATGAGTACGTAATCAACGTGTACTCAGCAAGTATCCCGTCTAATCTCGAAGAAGTATAGACGAGATGGTAAACTTTGACACTCACTAATGGTCCGATAATAATATACTAAATGTGTGAGGAAATCAAGGATTTTATAAGGTAGTACTAACTCACAAAGCTGGAAAACAAGCAATACACCTTCAACAAATAACAAAGGATTTTCAAGGTTTACATTTCTTTGTCTTATCAATTTACATCAAGCCATGAAGGGCAATATCATCATTTAAGATTTCACGTGCATCAATATAGATAGAAATATCATGCGCAAATCATGCTGAGGCGACAGCCTGGTCCAACAAAAAAGAAATATGCACTTACCGAGGGTCGATGGCGCGCCTATAGATGCATCTATTACCCCGCTCGCGAAATAATCTGCGACGTGGTCAACATAAAATAAACACATAACCTGCTCGCGAATCATACATGCGACGCAGGTACACAGAGAGATACATGCTCAATCAATCAAGTAAGAACTTATCAGGGAATATTTATCAAAATATATCAAATTCTCCTTTAACAAATTTTAAGAAGTAAAGTTTAATCCCTTTAGAAATCATTTACAAATTCCATGTGATTTAAGCAATTCAAGCTACCATAGGGCTTACAAATAATCCAAGTATAACATGCTTTTGGGTCCTAACTACCCGGACAATAGCATAATAGTAGCTACGCACGGACTCTCGACCTCGTGCGTACGTAGCCCCCATAAATAGGAGAACATAACCAATTAACTCGCCTATGGGGATAATTCCCTCTTACAAGGTTAGAAAGGAGACTCACATCGCTCCGAAGATCCAAATCCGGCATTCCACGCCCTTCCGAAGACTCTAACTGATGCACCCCGCTCCAAAACTAGCCAATGGTTACGCAATTCTATTAATATATGCTCAATTATTCTATACAATCTAATTTATAGAAATTCCTAACTCCGATCGAAAAGTTGACCAAAACGCCCTCGGGCCCACGTGCCCGAAATTCAAAATTTTTCGAAGATAAAGATTACCCATGACCTTAGGAACTCAAATATATAATTTTTACTAAATTCCATACTCCAATTCGTGGTCAAAATCCAAGATTGCTAATTTTCTAGGTTTTCCACCAAAACCTCAAATTATACTAATTTCAATGCTCAAATCCCTACATAGTTGATGTATTTAACTCAAAATAGGTGGGGATAGCTTACCTTAACATTGATGACGAAAATCCCCTCTTGAAGCTCCCCAAAAATTGCCCAAGCCTTTAAAATTGTGAGAAAAATAGCCAATTCCCGATTTTTAAACATCCTACTGCCTCCAGGTATTTCCACTTCTGCGGAAGCAATACCGCATCAGCGGTCCCGCTTTTGCGGACAATCCGCCGCTTCTGCGGCTTCCCCTGACCTAGCCCTTTTCCGCAGATGCGGTCCCGCTTCTGCGGAACTCTGACCGCATCTGCGGTCCTCCCTAGGCTTCCCATTCTCGCCTCTGCGATCCACCATCCGCAGATGCGGTCCCGCTACTGCGGAACCTTGACCGCATCTGCGGTCCACGAGCCTTCGACCATAACCCGCTTCTGCGGCTCCCTTTCCGCTTCTGCGGCTACCCAACCGCAGAAGCGAAAACACCAGCAACCAGATGCCTTCTGCTCTCTTCCAAATTACGATTTCGATCCGTTAACCATCCTGAATCCACCCGAGGCCCCTGGGACCTCAACCAAACCTACCAACCAATCCCAAAACACGTTACGGACTTGCTCGAGGCCTTCAATCACATCAAACAATGCTAAAATCACGAATCAACCCCCCAATCCAAACTTAATGAACTTCAAAATTTCAAACTTCTATTTCCGATGGTTAAACCTATCAAATCACGTCCGATTGACCTCAAATTTTGCGCACAAGTCATATTTGGCATTACGGACCTACTCCAACTTTCGGAATCGAATTCCGACCCCGATATAAAAAAGTCCACCTCCGGTCAAACTTCTCAAAAAAACCTTCAAATTTCTATCTTTAGCCAAATGGCTCCAAAATGACGCACGGACCTCCGAATTCACTTCCGATCGCGCTCCCAACTCCAGAATCACCATACGGAGCTATTTACAGTCTCGGAATCCCAAACAGTCATCGATAACACTGAAATGCACTTCAAGCCAAACTTATAAAATTTCTTCTAAAATGCTAACTTCCACAATAGGCGCCAAAACGCTCCCGGGTTATCCAAAACCCGATCCGGGCATGCGCCCAAGTCCGAAATTATCATACGAACCTGCTGGAACCTTCAGATCCTGATTCCGAGATCGTTTACTTAAAAATCCAATCTTAGTTCATTCTTTCAATTTTAAGCTTCTGAAATGAGAATTCTCTTTCCAAATCAGCTCTGAACTTCCCGGAACTTAATTCCGACCACGTGTACAAGTCATAGCACCTGAAATGAAGCTGCTCATGGCCTCAGGCTGCTGAACGGAGCGCTAGAACTCAAAACGACCGGTCGGATCGTTACACGTTGTATCTCTTAACCTTTGAATTCTATTAAAAGATTTGTTCTACATCAGCATTATGTTATGCTATCAACTTCTATAGCAAATTATAAATTCCAAGTTTCCAACCTATAATAGGTTTCTTTTACAACGACTCGAAGCAAGTATAAAGATTAATTTAGTTGCAACATATCACCTATATGTCATCTAACAATCACCTCGATCTGAAGAGGCTTCGCCTCACCGTGTGGAGCAAGGCAACTCCCAAGAGAGGTGAGGCTCTTGAAAACTTGACTACTTAAAATTTGAATTGATCAATGATTTGATCTACTGGTGCAATTTTATGGTCTGCAGCCCAGGATGAAAGACCAGCCTTGATTTTTTGAATGGTAACTGCTAATTGATGTTTATTTATGATATATTTTATTTAAATGCAAAGAATATCGGTATTCGAAACTCAGTTCGCTGAACTGTTCGACGAGGCCGCCTCTGAATTAGTAAGTGAGGTTTTGAGCTGAATTTGTGTACATCTATACCTCTTGAAGCATATTCAAATGAATTAGTACATCTATAACTGTTCTGGTCTCTAACCTTTGTTTATCAGGATGCTTTTTACTAGTTTAGTTCTCTTAAGGCACTCTTCTATTCAACTCTAAACTATTGGATATTTAGGGATCTTAGTCTTATGAGATGCATCTTTCAATATCAATGCTAACTAATACAGTTCATGTGTAGTATGTTGTTGCAGCTATAGTTTCCTATTTTTCAATTACATGGTTCTCCTTGTTTGATCATAAGATGTATGCTTATGAACTCAAGTAATTGATGATGTGTTTTAGAAATGGCTTCCATGAGCAATATGCGTCTTCATGGTTACAGCTTGCGATCTAGTTGACAAGTTATACTTTTAACAAATGGTCAGATTTACCTAAGTCATACTTCAATTGCTGCCTTGATCAAATTATAAAGGTATAAGCTCTATTTTCTTATTGTTGTAACTCTGTTTTATGTCGTTAGACTGTATATTTGCGTGTAATAAATTAGCTAACAGAAGTTTTATTCCTGTAGCCACGATTCTGTTTTAAGACAACTGAGTTAAATGCACGAGCATATGTTTATAGTTCTATTAGAAAGAAGTGGAGTTCAGGAAGGCAAAGGTTGTGGTATGAGTTCAATAACCCACTTAAGACCAAAGCAGAGATTATGGATAATGTTCCATCAGGGATTCCACGGGATCAATGGACTTCTTATGTTGCTTACCGTTTTAATGAAAAGACAATGGTATTTATTTGAATGCTTCAATTAGTATGTGTAATTATATACTTTTTTATTTGTATATTTGAGTTATGTGTATTTTTATAAGGAAATGAGTAAAAGAAATGCTGAAATTCGGAAGAAACAAACTGTTGCACACACTGGTGGTTCCAAACCAAACTCCAGAAGAAGAGCTGAAATGGTGATAAATATTAATTCAATATGTTTTACTTTAATTAAACTTGCAAACTGTTCCTATTTAGTCAAGTTATTCTGACTTGATTTTTCATTTATAGATGGCTGAATCTGGACAAAACCCTGGACGAGCGCAACTCTATCTTGCTACTCATAAGAAGGAAGATGAGTCATATGTCAATGAAGCAGCAAGAGAAATATGTGTAAGTTTCTACTTGTTAAAAGCTTCATCCGAACATCAAGTTAATAAGATTTTAGCCACCTATTAGTGCACTTCTTGATCAGTTGACATTGCCCTTTCCGTCTTTCAACTGATTGTTAAACTGTTTCAAGTGGCTTCTCACCTTCATCAGCTTTCTTTACTTCTTCAGTTATCACTTGGGATGGTTCCTCTGCATTCATCTTCTCTTCGTTATCAGCTTTCTTTACTTCTTCAGTTATCACTTGGGATGTTTTGTTGAGATACAAGCAAGAAAAAATGGAATTTGGAAGTGCTTCACCTATGCTTACCATTTTGTCAACATTGGCAATGCTTAATCTGTTTTGCTTTGTGGGGTTAGTGAAGGAACTGATCATAACAAGAGAAGTGGGATTGACATATGCATTTGAAACTATGGCTTTGCAAATTTTGTTGTGTTGGTTTCTGGTTTTGATTAACTTGCCTTTATACAATGGTCTCTTCTTTAATGACGATAAATAACTAGAGGGAAGAATGTTTAGAAGCTGGAATATAATTTTATGGGACATCAATTGCATGGCTGATCAAATTCTGTTTGATGAGCATACTGTTTGCTTCAATAGTTATAAAAAGTGTTTAGAAGTTTCAAATGGCATTAGATCTTGAATTTTTACACTGTTTTGGCTATTCTCCTTCCTTTTATAGCAGATTTTGTATCCATTTCCTGAACAAAAGAACCTTATAGGTTTGTTTAGTTTGGCTTAAAATGGGATTGTAATGCCTAGTTAGTAGGTATGGAAATGGACTAGGAGAGAGGTTAATGAGGGAAGTGTCCAGGGTTTCAATAACACTAGTCTTACTTTTGGATAGAGTATCCTTATGTTGTCATATACATTATCCTTATGTTGTCAATTACTAATTGAAGTTATGACAATGAATTTTTTGTATCTTATATTTAGGAAACAATTGAGCTAGTTGTAAGTCAAAGCGCCACAGATGAGTCTGAAGTTTCACCAAATGATGTCGTTGGTAAGGTGCTAGGAAAAGAGCATTCTGGAAGGGTAAGGTGCTTGGGGTTAGGAGCTATCCCGAGTAAAGTTTTTAGACAAACAAGACGTCGTTTTGGAGGTATAAATTCTTCCAGTTGTGATAATGGTTCATGTTCGTCCAAATGCGAAGAGAAGTACAATCAGATTGTAAATGCTCACAATCAAAGCCAAGAGAAGTACAATCAGATTGTAAATGCTCACAATCAAAGCCAAGAGAACTATGCTCAAATGATGACTGCACACCTCCAAATGATGAATGCTTTCAAGACATATATGATTATGAAAGAAGGGACAATGCCTGAACAGTTTGCTGGGATTTTCGTTTCTCCTCCTCCGGCAGCGGTAAATAAAATCTAGCTATATGTAGTTTTTTAATTTGAAAAACTAAAGAAAAAAAACTTTAAAATTAGACTTTTTATTTCTTTTGTCAGCCAAGTGATGCAGCTAGCGGATCAATTTCACCTATGGGCGTAAGAGGATCATCTAGTGATAGTAATCTTAATGAAAATCATTGAATTTCTTTGCAAATGTAATAGATGATTAAGTATGATACTTTACTTGAATGGTTGAACTAGATATTTTGTGTTTAAGTTTAGCTTTTGAGATTAATGACAATACTATCTGCTTATGATTCTATAATATGTGGATGTTACTTAACATTTATGCATCTTTAGTATTATGTTAATGCCTCTTAATTTTTTTTAATATAATTAAAATATTGCATTAGAAAAACAGGTATCCCCACAATTGCCCCCCCAAAAAAAAAGGTCTTCATGGAATATGGGAGGTTACAACTGCCATTAAATAAACAAATTGAGGGGGTTAAAGCTGCTGCGAAAATAGATTTCACATATTTCGAAAATATATTGCGGAGGTTGAAACCGCCGCAAGATGATTATTTTGCGGCGGTTTCAACCTCCGCAATATATTTTTTACAAGTTGCGCATTGATTAAAATTATAATTTGTGGGGGTTAAACCGCCGGAAAATAACCTCCGTTAAATGGTTACAACGGGCTTTAAAAAACTGCCACAAAATGATTGCGGCGAACCTTACAGCTGGGGTTTTGAAGACCGCCGCGATATCAAATAACGGGGGTCGCTGACCGCCGCAAAACGTGAAAATACCCTCCGCAAATAGGCTATATTTTTGTAGTGTATTAATAATAAATCCAGCAAATTTGGAATAAGGAAATAAACACAGGTTATAAAAGAAATTGGAACACACAAAAGGCTACACGTAATTGAAAAAAGAGAAGGCTTGTAGTGATGATTACTAATCATTAGCAATCATGAAAGAGCAAAGTATTTGTTGGTGTTTTCGGATGATATAGGAAGTGTGTATTTATAGTTGTAGAATTGTGTAAGAAGATGACAAGTGTTCATCTACTTGTCAAAAACATTCCATGCAAAGAGATAAGTGTTATGTCTCCTCTACCACTTGTTTATGGCTTTGCCATTTGACCATATATCTTCATGCAAAATGCCACATGGTAGATATTCATGACCACTTGTAAAATTAAAAGAACACATGGCTATTTAAATTTTTTTAAATACTCCCACAATAACTACGTTTATGTTGTTCATGTTCAGAAGAGTTTAAATGTCTCAATTGTGCCTGCTGATCTTGTTTGTTGTACGAGAGGAGAGAGGAGAGAAAAAAGGAAAAAGGATGTAATTAAATCCTTTGATTGAAGGCACAAATAATGGATTGGAAGCCTTTTAAGGTGGATTGTATACATTTTGTAATTAAAATGTGTTTAGGTCGGGTAAATACCAAAACATGGACATTTTTTGTAATAAGGTTTCAAATAGTATATAGGAATGAAAAAATCCTAAAAATATATATACGAGGCTTATAACAACAACAACAATAACATATCCAATATATTCTCATAATGTGGGATTTGAAAAGAGTAATGTATACTATGTAGAGGTAGAGAGGTTGTGTCAAATGGACCTATTAATTTAATTTTATGCCCGATGAATAGTTTACAATGGTAGAGGTTGTGAGGTAGTTGCTATGATAAAGCGTGATAACTATTAAGTAGTGGTTATATATGGAGATTAATATGTGATGCAGAAAACAGCATGCTTTTTAATCTTAACTCAAAATTATGCTTTATGTAATTTGCTCGCGCGTATGGTAGCAGATCAATTTTTACCAATAATTCCCAAAAAATAATTGAAGAAGAAACCACTTAAAAAGAAATTTCCTTTTAATGAGCTTTTAACACAAATTACAAAAAGGATAATGGCATTCCCAGCTGCTTTTTATTTTCACTTTTTAAATTACCCTGTTTAATGACAACATAAGAGCTGTTAAAACTCTTATAACAAATATGGAGATTCGAGATTCTGAATTTGTTATCAACAAAAAAATGCAGAGACCAGGTTGACTTTGTACAGTAATCGCTGAGCAATTTAACTTTGTACGTAAAGTATGGAGCAGAATGCAGGCTCGGCCATGAGTATCAGTGGTTTGTTTTACATTAAAACAGCAAATTAAAACAACAGAAGAGCAGGTATATATTCAACAACTGCAACTTTCGTATATATTGAAAAAATAAGAAGATAACAGGTAAAAGACAACATTAATGCTAGACTGCTATGAAAAGATAAAGCAAGATTTACTATAACCATACCCTACTTTAAACTTAAATAGAACAAATATAGTAAATTATCCAGCTAGAGTTGTGCACGCGAAGAAGCATGATACAACTTAGAAGATACAAAAGTAGATGTAGAGTAACAGTGATACTAAAACAATTTTATTGAATATAGGGATATAATTGATGGAGATATTCCAGAAATACTGAAAAAATTTCAAATTAATTAAATTGAAATCAAGATGAATTGAAGCTTTTAATTTGATACTCCTATTAGGGTTTTGGACGAAATGAGAAAATGACAAGAAAGGGTACAAGGAGAGGAGCAGGGAATGAACACAAGAATGGCGAAAGTGGTGATCAGGTCAGATGTGCTTTTGTTCCCAGAACAGTGTCGGGTGAAGTACAAGAAGAATTCAGGAGGAGAAAGGGAACTTATAAGGGGAGAAGAAAATGCAACAAAAAAAAAAGAGAGGAGAAAACTGAAATATTGGTTTTAAAAAAAAAAGGGAAAAAATAAAACGGAAGAAGGACTCTATATTTTTAACTCGCGCGATGCCCGGATAATTTGATAGGATATAAAATTATAATTTAATATATTATATTATTTTAATAAATATTAGTTGTTATGTTATTATTCAATGTATGGTACAGAATATAATAAAATCTATACAAAATCAAAGGATACACATTATATAGTAGTCAAATAAATTATTTGTTCCTTATTTATTCTTTATCATTATTAAATTAGCAAGTATCCGGTCCACAATAAGTGACCGATTTGCGTTTGGCACGCCCATTAAGAAAATACTAAATTCTATACAAAAATACCTAGTATGACTAAACTACCCTCAATTATATATTTAATGTGGGAGTAAGAAAACCTTTTAGGTATATGTACATAAGGGTAATTTTGTAAAACAAATTGAATTCTTTTTTGATTATATAAATGGACACTTATTTTGGACCAAAATAAAAAAGCAAATTGGTCACTTATTGTGTAACGGAGGGATAACTATACGTTTACTAATATGACTTTTTATTAACTTGTCACTTGGCTTAATATCTTGATACCGCTTCTCTTCTAAAATAGTACAGATATATATACATATTTTCTTACTGTGGAAATATTTTTTTAAAAATTTATGTTATGCTGTTCAAAATTCATCAATTGTCTAAACTTAGCAATAATTTCTTGAATGTAATTTATTTTTTATTTTATTTATAAATTAATTTAAATATAAATATCATAAAATTATATTTATCCTACTTCTTGGTACATTCTTTTCTACTATAATATTTGATTAGTTTTCTCATTTTGTATTTTACTAAAGTTTAAATAATGTAATATTCTTTTACTGAAATATAATTTTGAATTCATCAAAAGTATAAAGAGATAAACCTTTTATAAAAATCATGACATAAGAGATTAAAAAAGACATTTCTTAATTTCAATATTGTAAAAAGTCATGAAGACTTATTCCCTTTTATTATTTTGGAGCATATAATTAATTAGATAAGACAAACAATTAGGCAAACAACAACCAAGAAATTTCCAAGATATCATAAAAACCCTATCGATAATTTTAGTAATTATTAATTTGGGTATATATATAATATGCTTATCTTATATATAATATATATCCTAATAGTATCTTTATATTTTTGTATTTTTTATTATGAAATTAAGAGTTTTATATATATATATATATATATATATATATATATATATATATATATATATATATATTCTTTTAATATTCTTCATTTATGAATATTTATTTGTTATGGTTTAGTTATGTGTATATGCGTGACCTTTCTCATCATAATTCCAATTATAAATCTTAAATTTTTAAGATTTTCCAAAAATTTATCTTTTATTTCTTTCTTTTTTTGTTCCTTGTTATCTAATTGTATTATCTATTACTTAATATTATTAAATTGACATATAAATTTTTAATAAATTATCAGTTTAATATAATACAATAATAATTTTGTATTACTCTTAAAATTTTGACTTGACTTTATCATGTATGACTTTCTCAAATTATTTCTAAAAGTAAAAATCAAGTAAATGTGTTCCGTCATTGATTGGATCAAATTTCCCAGTTTCTAATAGTTGCCTTTTCTTTTTTCTTCTAATTGCCTTTTCTTTTTTCTTTTGTTTTCTTCCATTTATTTTTTTCCTTTCTTAAGAACATATAGATTTGTTTTTTTTTCTACTTACATTTTAAAATCTCATAACTTAAGTATATCATTTGTAATAGCATTCACACAATAAAATCAAAGAAATACTACTACAGAATAGTTTTGTTATATTTTATGTATTTAATACTAATTACTAAGTTATGAACATAACAATATCAGATGGCAAGAGAATGGCAAGTTATCTAAGATTGTTATTGTCAAAGTTTTCCATATACTCTATTAAAAGGAACAAAATTGAAATAAGATCCAATTTGTATTTTTTCTGTCTTACTTTTCATTTTTTATCTCATCTCTGATACCCACAAGTCAGCAAGAGTCCGTGAGGAGTAGGCCCATGTGAAGAATGTGAAGACTAGCCATTTGAAAAGTAGTTATGTTAGTTGGAATATTCAAAAAGGAGTTAGTGGCGGGAAAATTAGTTAATTTCGTTTTAGGTGTTATCTTGCATAGCTTTTGAATTTCAGTAGCTCATTTGAATTTCAGTAGCTCATTGAGCATTAGATAGTTGTAATAATTCATTACCAACTTTTATCACTGAAATTTGAAATTCTCTCTCAACTCTAATTCTTTCTAAATTTCTGCTCATTTCTCTCTTGTTCTCTCTTCTTCTTCTATTTTCTGTTCTTCTTAACTCATCTTCCGTGATTGATAGCGTGATACCAATAATTTGGTATCAATTGGTATCAGAGCTTAGCCATGGGACCTCGTAAAGCTGTTGATCCTACGAGCTTGGAATGGCAGGAACAATATGAAGATCTAGCTGCCCAGCAGTTAGATTTGGGCGCTAGATCTGCGTGCGATCCTCGATCAGAAAAAAGACGAGTTGCGAGCTGATTTGGATCAAAGACATGCTGAATTGTTACATGTGGTTCAATCACTCAAAAACTCGATTGATGGATTACAGTTACACCATCAGTCAAGAGACAATAGCTCCTCCTCTAAGAACCGTGATAATGTGCAGACAGGTCAGGGCATATTAGGTCCTAATCCATATCATGTTGCTAACACTCGTAGTCATAACTTGCTATTTCCTAGATTCAATGGTGAAAACTTAAAAAATTGGTTGTATAGAATTGAGCAATACTTTGCAGTTGACAATACGACTGCTAATCAGAAGGTACATATAGTGTCTATGCATTTGGATGATGATGCCCTAGCCTGGCATCAGTCATATTTGAAATGCAGAGATGTGCTTACTCATCCTCCCTGGGACGAGTATATTGGTGCACTGATTGAAACGTTTAGCGAGGATATAATGATCCGATGCTAGAATTGAAGCAACTCAAGCAGACTGGTTCAGTGAAGGAGTTTCAATTTGCTTTTGCAAGGCTATTAGCCCAGTGTGATCTAACTGTGAGCCAAGCTATATCCTGTTTCCTTGGTGGATTGAAAGAGGAATTAGTAAATTCTGTTAAGATGCATGAGCCTCAGACATTATCCAAAACGTATCGTTTAGCTAGGTTAGCTGAGGCCACCTTAGCAGCCAACGCTAGAGCCTTGAGGAGCCATACTGCTTCTGTGACATCTTCTCATCTCAAAAAGTCCACTTATGAGCCACCAGCCTTCAAACACAATCCTACCCCTAGTTCCTCAACTCCTCGATTAGCTTTACCACCTCCACCTACTGTAAATGTGGCTAGAAATAGGAGGACTATTTCCCCTGCAGAAATGCAGGCTAGGAGGGCACAGGGTCTTTGGTATATCTGTGATAACAAGTACACTGCTGGTCATAAATGTAACTTGCCTAAGCAGATGTTTGTGATGGAGGTAGAAACTGTAGAAGAGGAGTGTGATGAAACCAAGCAACAACAATCTGAGGAGGGCCTTCCTAAGGAGGAGTGGACAGCTGGTGGAAGTGATACCCCTATGATATCCTTGTGTGCCTTAGATGGCTTACAAGGAGCCCAAACTATTCATGTCACTGGATATAGTGAAAAGAGGCCTATTCAAATCTTACTTGATGGGGGTAGTACTCATAATTTCATTGATGAGGGGGCTGCCAAGAGGTTAGGGTGCCAGATATATCCCACCAAGGTGAATCAGGTGAGTCTTGGCAATAACACCTTGGAAACAACGTCTGGAGTTGTTAAGGGATTTGAATGGATGTTGCAGGGTACCACATTCTCTTCTGATTTGCTTGTCTTCACTGTTGTCAAATATGACTTGGTTTTGGGAGCACTATGGATGAAAACACTTGGGCCAATTACTATGGATTACTCAGAACTTACCATGGCTTTCAATTATCAAGGGAAACATCACTTGCTGAAGGGAGTATCTGAGGATTGTAAGGTTTCTAGTCCAAAATCCTTGAACAGATTAAAGGGAGCTGATGTACAGTTCTTTATGCTGCAGGTGAGGGAAAGTGACCCGGGCTCAATTACTACTATACAGTGTCAAGCCTTGTATGTGCCTACAGCTGATAGAACTGCTCTTATTGATCAGCTATTGCATCAGTACCATATGATCTTTGCTGAACCTACTTCTCTACCTCCACAAAGGGGAGCCTTTGATCATAGGATAACTCTACAGCCTGGTTCAAAACCTGTAAATGTTAGACCATACAGGTATTCCTCTATTAAAAAAGATATCATTGAACAGTTGGTTAATGAAATGCTGCAGCAGGGGGTCATCCAATATAGCAACAGTCCTTTCTCTTCCCCTGTAGTTCTTGTTGGTAAGAAAGATGGCTCTTGGAGATTATGTGTAGACTATAGGGAGCTGAATCAGTGTACAGTCAAAGACAAATTTCCTATACCTCTCATAGATGATCTGTTAGATGAATTGGTTGGAGCTATAATTTTTTGTAAGATTGATCTCAGGTCTGGTTACCATCAAATTAGGATGTTGCCTGAGGATGTTGCCAAAACTGCCTTCAAAACACATTCTGGGCACTATGAATATTTAGTGATGCCCTTTGGCCTAACTAATGCTCCCTCCACCTTCCAATGCCTTATGAATCACCTATTTCAGAAGTTCCTCAGGAAATTTGTCCTAGTATTCTTCGATGACATATTGATCTATAGTAATAATTTGCATGATCATGTGGGGCATTTGAAGCAGGTTTTTGCTACTATGGTCTCCCACAATCTTTTGGCCAAAAAATCTAAGTGTGCATTTGGAGTTGCAAGGGTGGAATACCTAGGACACTTTATCACTGCTGATGGGGTCTCTACTGACCCTAGGAAAATTGAAGCAGTCCAGCAATGGCCAATACCCAGGACTGTTAAACAGTTGAGGGTTTTCTTGGGTTTGGCTGGGTATTATAGGAAGTTCATCAAGGGTTATGGTATTATTAGTAGGCCACTCACAAACCTACTCAGAAAAGATGGCTTTGTGTGGAATGCTAAAGCTGCTGAATCCTTTGCAGCATTAAAAGTGGCCCTCACTTCTGCTCCTGTGTTGGCATTGCCCAATTATGCTATTCCATTTGTGGTTGAGACAGATGCTTGTGGTACAGGTATTGGGGCTGTTCTTATGCAACATGATCATCCTATAGCTTTCATTAGTAAGGGCTTAGCTCCTAGGCACATGGCTTTATCGGTGTATGAGAAGGAGTTGTTAGCTTTGGTGTTTGCAGTTACTAAATGGTCTCACTACCTTTTGGGCCATCATTTCATTGTGAAGACTGATCAGAAGGCTCTTAAGTACTTATTAGAGCAGAAGCTGCACACTGATTTGCACATTAGGTGGTTGGCCAAATTACTTCCCTTTGACTTTGAGATCCAGTACAAGAAAGGCAAGGAAAATGTGGCTGCTGATTCCTTGTCCAGAGTGACAGGTGCTGAGTTAATGTCTCTCATGGTTTCTTCTGTGCAGACTGATCTTTGTAAGGAAATACACAATAGTTGGGTTCAAGATCCTGAGTTAAGTCAACTTATTAATTCCTTGCAGGCTTCACCCAAGAAGCACTTTACTGGGATAAACAATCAACTTAGGAGAAAGGGTAAGTTGATGGTTGGAAATGATATGGAACTCAGGACTAAGCTACTGCAGTTATGGCATTCTTCTACGTCTGGTGGGCATTCTGGTGTGGATGCCACTACTAGGAAAGTGATGGCCTATTTTTATTGGAAGGGCATCAGAAATGATGTCCTCAATTTTGTGCGCAATTGTTCTGCTTGTCAAAGGAACAAATATGACACTTCTGCTTCTGCTGGTTTGCTGCAGCCCCTCCCTCTTCCTATAGTTCCTTGGACAGATATCAACATGGACTTCATTGAGGGATTGCCCACATCTAAAGGAAAATCTGTTATTTGGGTCATAGTTGATAGATTGACCAAGTATGGTCATTTCATTGCCTTGGCTCACCCCTATACTGCTCAGTCCTTGGTGCCTATTTTCCTGGACCATATTTTCAAACTACATGGCTTTCCTGCTACTATCACCAGTGATCGTGACCCTATCTTTATTAGTTCTTTTTGGAAAGAATTCCTTTCTGCCCAAGGTGTTCATCTCCATACCTCTACAGCTTATCACCCACAGACTGATGGCGAAACTGAGGTTCTCAATCGATGTTTGGAGACTTATCTCCGCTGTTTTTGCTCTGATTCACCAGCTGATTGGTGTGCCTTCTTGCCTTTAGCTGAATGGTGGTATAACTCCTCCCACCATTCTGTTATTCAAACATCACCATTTGAACTTCTTTATGGTTATCCTCCCCCTCTCCATCTCCCTTATCTTCCTGGTGACTCTCCTTCCACTGATATTGATAGCATTTTTCTCCTCCGCGACTTTAAACTGCAGCTTGCTAAGCATCATTTGGTACGTGCTCAGCAGCGTATGCAAGATCAAGCCAATGCCCATCGCACTGATAGACAATTTACAGTTGGTGACTGGTTTTTGTGAAGCTGCAGCCTTATAAACAATCCACCCTCTCCCTTTCTCCTTATCACAAGCTTACTTCTCGCTATTTTGGCCCCTACCCTATTGTCGAGCGAGTTGGAGCAGTTGCTTACAGACTGCTGCTACCACCTGAGGTCCAAATTCACCCCACATTCCATATTTCCCAACTTAAATTCTGTCCTACTCTCCCTTCTGAAATTATCCACCCCCCTATCCTTGATCCTTCTAGCCCTTTATGCCCTGCACCTGAAGTTATACTTGCTCGACGATTAATCAAAAGGGGTAACAAAGTTGTGGCCCAATGCTTGGTTAAATGGCATGGTTTGGACGATGCTGCTGCTACATGGGTGTTTCACCAAAGAAATAATATTTTGGATAAAACTAGAATTTGAGATGAAAAATCGGGTTAATGATAATCAAGAGACCAAAAATAATAATAATAGGCTTTCTGAGAATAATAATAAAGCAGTAAACAAAGTTTTTTATTTCAGTATGATGTCAATGATGCCCTTTTCCCAATACAACTTCCTCCTTTTATAGTTGATTCTAGGTAAAGGAATAAAACCTAAGCTTTAATGAGACAATTATGGACAATAAATGACATTAAATGAGCCGTTACACAATCATTCCTATTAAATACCAATTTTCTAACGTATCAGGTATTTAATACTGAATTTGGACTCCTTTTTGTCTTTAGATTCATGTCTTCAATGCCTTTCGACCCACTGGCTTTAAATGACTTTGAATTGGTACGAGACTCGTGTCTAAACTGCTTCTCGTGCCTATTTCACTTCTTCTTCCCGTACCTGTCGTTTCCCGTACCTTTTGCCCAATTGTTACGCTTTGACCACTTGTCCAGTCCACGTGTCACACCACGTCATCTTCAATATAAATTCAACTTTTTTCCCAATACAGATAGTCCCCCCACTTTTCATTTATTTATCAATTAAATAATTGGGAAGTGGACCTTCGTAAAAAAGGAATTTTTGCCATAATCAATGCGTATGACAATATTGTCGTCTCAATTGTCTTTTCCATTTAATGTTTTGTCCATGTGTCACCTTTTGATTGATTCTGCCATTTTGCACCCTTTTTCAAAGCTTCGTTAATCCCACTATTCACGAAGTGATAGTTGCCTTTATTATAGGCTTTCCATCATTACTCTTCTAAGTTTGACGGTTGCCATCATATACATATTTAACCTTTTCTTCCTTTGTCCTCTTCTCCATAAGTCTTTAGCAAACGTTTTTCTTCCTTACTTTT